GCCGAGTCCCCGGGGCCGCCCGGCGGATGGCGTGGCCGGACGCGGGGGCCTGGGTCTTCCGGGCGTGACCCCGAGTGTGGGGCGCCCAGGCCGCGCAGCCCTGGGGGGTCGGCGGAGGCCGCTCCGCGTCTCTGCGCCCCGGGCGCGGGACAGGGAGGGGGTGGCACACCCGCGGGGGCGGGATAGGAGCCGGAGTGCTCCCCTCTGCGGGCGGCGAGGTCCGGGAGGGGACACTTGCCTCCAGGCGAGCGTGGAGTTGTGATTCCATGTGCCCGCCGGTGGCTGTCCCCGCGTGTTGGCCTCGGGCCGGCGGTCCTCGACGATCCTTCCCACCAAAGCGCGGAGAGGCGACGGAACGGCCGCCCCGCGAGCTGCACCATCCCCCGTTCTGGATCCCGACGGGGGCCGGAGCACCCGTCCTCCAATGGCGCACCACCCCAAGTCTTCGCGGCCGGGGCGAGAGGCAGCCGCAGCCGCAAGGGAGTGACGCGGGGCTGCAGACCCGGCCAGCAACAGGGGCTGGTCTGCGAACAGATCCCGACTCCAAGCTCGGAGGGCCGCGCCGGAGCACCACCCCGCGCCCCTTTGTTGACCCGGGAGGTTAGCAGGACACGCCTCCGTGCCCACCCCGGCCAGGGAGAAGATGCGATGCCCTCTCCGAGCCTGGGAGACCGGCTCTCCAAGGACTCGGGGCGACACATTCTTTGGAAATGGGGAGGTGCGCCTTTAACCCTGCCCTGGCCGCGGTACAGGCGCGGGAGGCCTTTCCCGGAACCGGTCCGAGTAGCTGGACCTGCTGCCCTCACCGCAGTGCCTGGAAGCTGGGGCGCAGCCAGGGCCTGGGGCGGAGGAGGGAGGGGCACGGCTCCCAGGCCGCCCTAGTGTTCTGCCACCTGCCGGGGAGATACCTTTACTTTTGTGCAGAACCTGGTCCCGTGGCCCTGACCTTCTGGGAAAGCCCATGGCAGCAATGACCTTTCAGGTAATGGTGTGCCCTGCTGGCAGGTGGAGTGGCCCAGAGGCCTGCCTGTGCCCGCCTCAGGGGCATCTGCATGTAGTGCTTTCCTGCCTTGAGGGTCAAAGGGTCAAGGGAAGCCCTTCTCAGGAAGGGACGTTTATCTCCTTCTAGCCTCTTCCCCAAGGATGTAAGGTCTGAGGGGCCTGCACGGGGCTGCCTGGGAGCACCCACACAACTGACTGGCTCCCCCAGGACCCTGCAAATGAAAAGCAGGGTTCCAGCAGAGGGGCATAGAGAGGACAGATGGAGGTGCCCCAAACTGTCAGAGCCCTCCATCCCCCTGTCCCTGGGTCAGGGACCCCCTGTGGCCATGGGAGGCAGGTCAGAGTGGGGCTGAAGAGCTCCACTTGGGCACAGAGGAACAAAGGGCAAAGGTCCTGGGCGCCAGGCAGCCTCTCCTTGCCCACCCCACTGCCTGTACAAGGCCACCACACATGTGTGCTCCGGGTCTCCGGACACCGTGAGGTGAGCTCGTCTAGCAGAGGGTACGCTGACCCGGGACAGGCTGGTGACCCCTACTGCACACAGTGGGGCAGGCCTATTCCTCTTCCTGAGCCACGGTGAAAGGGACACTACTTGGTGGCCGTGGTGTGCAAGTGCACTCCCAGGAGATGGGTGGGGGGAGGCATCCCTGCAAGGCATGGCCAAGCCTGGCTAAAAGTGGGGCGGGGACAGAGCAGCCCCTCACCACTGTAGCACTCACAGGGTTCAGGCCGAGACCGGGGCAGGGAGTTGACATGTCTGGTGGTGGCTAAAAGCCCCCTTACCGGCGTCATCTCTAGACCACTAGGTAGCCTCTGTCCTCCACCAGTGTCGACCTCAGTCATGAGTTCTGTGGCCAGACAGGACCTTGTGTGGACCCCAGGATGTGGCTTTCAGAGAGGTAGGTGGCTCCATGTGTCTGCCAAGTGTTTACTGACTAACTGCTACATGCCAGGGGCTTTTCTAGGTGCCCCTGTCCAGAGCAAGATATTGCAAGTCTTCTGGGGTGAAGACTGACAGCCTTGGAGACTCTGTGGGGCAGTTCCACTCTGCCCTCTAGGGGCGCTGTGGGTCAGAATGGACTCCAGGCAGTGGGTGTGGTTTGGGCTTTGATTCCGTGAAGACTGACAGCCTAGGAGACCCTACAGGTCTGTTCTCCCATCTTTGTGAAGAGCATGAGGAAAGCACTCCTGGCAGGGCACGGTGTGTGCAAAGGCCAGGAGGCACCAGGCGCACAGGGTGCTTTGAACGCGTGTAGGGCAGCTATTGGACCAGCGCTCCCCCCACCTCCGGACCGTGCAGGCTTCTCCAGGTACAGGCTTGCTCCCCGCCCCACTTCTCCCAGCTCGCCCTTCGTGCCTCCTTGCCCCTACACCAGCTGGCACCATGGGTCAGAGCAGAGCTGCCTCCGCAGGGTCTTCAAGGGCCCATCGTTCAGAAGTGGATTGCCAGGCCTTTGTTCCGGGCCACCTCTGGTTGGATTCAAACCTCCAACCATTCAGTTAGCTGCTGAATGCTTAACCGTTTACACCACTCAGGCCTCCCTCCAAGTTCAGAACACACATTAAAACACAAAGTACAGCCCCAGCGCCTCAGCTGATTAGAGAACCAGATGCTGCCTGGTCCATGCTGACTCATGGTGACCCCGTGTGTGTCAGAATACAGCTGTGCTCCATAGGGTGGCCGGCGGCTGATTCCTCAGGAGCAGACAGCCAGGCCTTCTTCCGAGGTGCCTCTGTGCAGACATGAACCTGCAATCTTCGGTGAGCAGCCACCACATTAGCTGTTTGCACTCTCCCAGGGGCCCCTTTCATTACTTGCTCAAGCAGGTGCCCTGCACCAGAGGGTTCCGTATGATACCAGTCTCAGCCTCATTCCAGGTCCTGGCTCTCCAGGACCTCTGGGGCCCCAGCTCCGTTTGGTCCTTCATTCCCTGGACCCCTGAACATCAACCACCCATCTGGGCCTTTGTAACTTGGACCTTGTCTTAGTAATCTAGTGTGGCTATAACAGAAATACCACAACCCCCAAAAAAAAGAACAAACTCACTGTCATCGAGTCGATTCCAACTCTTAGCAACCCCCTTTGGGTTTCTGAGGCAATAAATCTTTATGGAAGTAGATTTCCCAGTCTTCCTTCTGCAGAGTGGCTGGTGGGTTTGAACCGCCAACCTGCTGGTTAGCAGTCAAATGCCTCAGGCAGAGCTTCTTGAAATACCACAAGGGGGTGGTTTTAACAAACAGAAATGTTCTCAAGTCTGATTCAGGATGCTAGCTCCAGAGGAAGGCTGTCTCTCTGTGTCGGCCTGGAGTCTCTGAAGGAAGGTCTTTGTCTCTCCAGCTTCTGGTTCCTAGTTCCTCGGAGATGGCCCTGTGTCTGGGCCTCTCTCTACTCTCTTGTTTCCTCTCTTTTATATCTCACAAAAGACACTGACTCAAGACACGCCCTACATGGATCCTGCCTCATCAGCATAGTAAAGACGAACCATTCCCAACCATTCTGTGTAATCACAGGCATGCAGGTTAGGTTAGGTTTTACAACACCTGGTGGCACTGTGCCTAAGGCATTTGATTGCTAACCAGAAGGTCGGCGGTTCAAACCCACCAGCCACTCCGTGGAAAGAAGACTGGGCAATCCACTTCTGTAAAGATTTACAACCTAAGAAACCCAAAGGGGGTTGCTATGAGTTGGAATCAACTCAGTGACAGTGAGTTTGGTTTTGGTTTATTTTGTGGAGACATCATTCAATCCATAGCAAGACCCAAACATCCCAGTCCCATTCGAACATTCGAACCCTCATCCCCTGCACCCCTGCCCCTCACCTGGCCCCAGACCAGCATGTGCACCAAGCCCCTGGTGTCCTCAGCTCCCCTGAGCAGCAGCATCAGGGCTGGGAGGGGCGCAGGGTGTCTGTTGTGGGCTCATGGGGGCCTTGCCCAGAGCCCACACTGCCAGCAGCTGCTGCCTCCTCCTGACTGCCTCCTCGATTTCATGAGGTTTCTGGCTCAAGGTGCCCACCTTTCAATCCCCCGGTGGAGACCTCAAGTCATGTTTCAGGGATAACTGGGAAGGGAAATGGGCCTTAAGGTAGACATATGAGGATGAAAACTCCATGTTGCAGTATTACAGGGACCCTCATGAGTGCCAAAGGCAAATTAAACACAGCCTGCAAGCAGACCTCTGCATCTCCCAGGTATTTATTTTTCTGCCAACAGGGAGGAGGGTTTAATGAAGACCGCCCTTGGGTGGGTACTCAGGCACATGGACCACAGCCACCGGCCCTTTCCCAGCACAAGGTGAGGACGCCGGCTTCTGGATGGCTCGGGTGTAGTTCTTCACCCAGGCTCTGCTGCCAAGGGTTCTAAAGAAGGGACAGAAGGCAGGACAATCAGGGGTCTCCTCCTGCACTTATCGCCTTGGGGACTGGTATTGGAGAGTGGAGGGGCGGAAGGGGGTAGCCACTACTCACCTAGAACCCCAGGCCTTCCCCACTGGGGATGGAGGGCTTGGAGAGCTGGTGGGGAGAGCCGACCCTGTCTCAGATGCCTGACTTAGCTGCAACGCAGATGTCACCTTCCTCAGGGACCTGTCACATGTAGAACTAGAGCCATCAGCACCCTGGACCTGAGGCAAAAGGAGAAGGTCATCTGGGTGTCCAGCCCGTCGCCTCCTGTCAGCCAGGGAAGACATCGGATCCTTGGTTGGGTTCAAAAAGGAGCTGTCATCATCCCGGCCCCCACTGGCTGGGCCTCGGCGGTGTCCTGGTGGCTAGGGGTTGGCGGCCCCTCTGGGAACTAGCTTCTTGTCCTGCAAAGGGATGCTGGTAGGTCGTGCAGAGGTGAGCCTGGGCCTGGGCTGCAGAATCTGAAGGAGAAAGCCCAATTCTAAAAGTCAATGTCACGAGTGAAGTGTGTCCCCCAAAGGGACATGCTGAAGTCCTAACCCCACACCTGTGATGGTGACCTTCTTTGAAGGGGTCTTTGAAGATGTCACCGGTTGACGTGAGGTCACACCGGAGGAGGGTGGGTCCATCTACAAAAGGAGAATCATTGAGAGACGCAGAGGAGGAAGCGTGTGAAGATGGAACTGAGATGGGAAGGGTACGGCCACAAGCCAAGGACCCGGGGCCGCCAGGGGCCAGAAGAGCCGTCAGAGGAGCGTGGCCCTGCCAACACCTTGATTTGGGGCTTGAGTCTTTGCAGATGTAATGAACTCAATGTGAGGTCATACTGGAGCGGGCTGGGTGCCAATCCTATCTGCGTGGTGTCCTGATGAAAGAAGAGACAGAGGGACGACCACGTGACGACAGAGGCAGAGACTGGCTGATGTGGCCACAAGCCCAGCAACGCCTGAGCCACCAGAAGCTGTGGAGACGCGGAAGCATCCTCCCTGAGAGCCTTGGGAGGGAGCGAGGACCTGCCAACCCTGCTTTCGGAGCTCTGCCTCCAACCCTCCGTCAGAAAGAACTCCTATTGGTGTAAGCGCCCCAGTTCAGACGGAGGCCCCAGGACACTAAGGCAGGTGTGGACCAGGGACAGGGCTTGAATGGCTTCTACAAGAGGGGCTGGAGTCTGGAAAAGACGGTGTTGACACCAGTCTGTGGCTGTGGATTCTGGCATCACGGACTCTTTAATGGCAGGGGGAGGCGCTCTTGTGGTGCAGTGCCTAAGGCAGTTGACTGCTAACCAGAAGGTTGGTGGTTCAAACCCACCAGCCACTCCGTGGAAGGAAGAGGGGGCAATCTACTTCTGTAAAGATTTACCTTCTCGGAAACCCAAAGGGGGCTACTATGAGTCAGAATCAACTCGATGGCAGTGACTTTTTTTTTTTTTTTTTTTAACAGCGGGGCTTGGAGCCCCATCTGGCCTGAGCGAGCTAACATGGTGGATGCTGTTATGGGGCAGCCAGCACCTGACCTGTGGTGTACTTGGCCATGAACTTGTCATCACTCCCAGCTAGCAACTTACCAAGCATGTGTCCCAGGGTCGGAGTGGGCGTGGGGGTGAGGGAAAGCACTGGGCCCCACTCCAAGAGAACACGCAGCAGATCGGCCATTGCTCTCCCTAGAAACAAGCCATGTGCCACTCCCACTGCTGGGTGAGCGCCCCAGGGAGGGTCAACCCCGGGAGCTGGAAGCAGCGCGTAGAGAAGATCCTGTGCAGGCCGGGCCCCCCGTGAAATACGAGGTCTGGGCCAGCTTTTTTGGAGGGGTATGGAATCAGGTGCCTTCCAGAGCTGGGTGGAGAAGGGAGGCGTAGAAACATCACGGGCAGGGCTGTTGGGAGTGGCAGAGCCTGGAGGTAGCTGGAGAGCCCCGTGGCACCAAAACGCCTGGCCCAGGCCCTCCAAGGCCACCCAGACCTCAGCTGATCTGCCCACTGGCCGCAGAGACCCAGGGAGACCAGCGTGGTCGAACCGCCCGGCCACCATGAAGCGGCAGCTGTGGGGATGTTTGTCACACTGCTCTGAGTGGCTGTCGATAGCTGATACACTGGCCTCCGCCCTCACTGCATCAGCTCTGTGGGCAGAGCCCTCGTGAGGCTGCTTCTAAGGCTTGTCCAGCTTGGAGGAGCATTTCAGGAAAATTAACTACACCCCCTTTGCCTCCCCTAGGGCTCCACACGGCGAAAATGTGAAGATGTTGGCACTCTTTGCTTTCCGCCCCGCCTAGAAACCACGCTGGCCAGCTTGCAGGACAGCCTGGGCCATGCTTCCTCCTGGGTGCGGGTGTGGGAGTGGTGGCTGGGAGCTGGGGTTCGGGGAGCGAAGAACCGAGCCAAGCAGTCCAGCTGTCTGTGACTCACGGTCCCAGGACACCCCGCACATGGTGCAGCACCTGCTTGGTGCCCCTGCCCGCACCTGCCGCCTCCCCCCGGGCGGAGGGCGTTTGGCCGCTGGACAGTCAGGGCGGGGCCGGCTCCAAGTGACTGCCCCTTCAAAGAAAACCACAGATGTTCGTGTGTACACGTCCCCACCTCCCCTCCATGAGCAGATCTCCAGAAATGAAAAATTGGGGTAAATGGAGGGTGTACGATTCAATGTGGGCCCATGCTGGGTTCTTTGGGGTACAAAGACAGCTGCAGCCCATGCCAAGGACAACTGGCCCCATGGGGGGGGGGCGGCAGGCCGGGGTGCCCGGGGACAGCTGGATGAGGTGCTGACACGGGGCTCATTCCTCGGTGATGCCGGCCCGCAGCTGCTGGGAGCTGCGCCAGTCCCGCGCCCCTGTGTGCCTGGGCCCTGGCCTGGGGGCGGCTGCAGACAGCTCCCACCTGTGGGCTGCCGGCTTGTCCACTCTGTGCCAACAGCTCCCCTTAGAGACTCTGCCTCATCTTCCCTCTCCCCTGTGTCCAGGCTCTTTCTCCCCTGCCCTCCCGAGCCCACCCAGCCTGGCCTGGCCGTTTCTCCTGGCAGCCCAGGGCCTCCTGGAGCCAGCTGGGCGTCTGAAACCACACCTCGGCCCCCTCATGGCCTTGCCTATGTGTTTTTCTCCTTGCTGGATCCAGTGTGCTCAGGAGCTCTCCAAGGGCCCTTTGTGCTGGTGGAAGGCCACTTGGGACAGATCTGGGGGGAATGTGGCTTGTGGGGTGCAGAGGCAGTGTTTTGGGGACCCACCTGGTCAGTGGCCTCACTCTCGAGGGTTCCAGAGGGATTGGCTGTTAGTTTTTAAGCAGCACACTTAATAGCATAAGACATACCCATACGGAAGGGGCATTTCTAAACTTCTAGATGCTCCCTAGTCAAGACAAAGAGGGACGTTTTGCAAGTGACGCGTTTTATTCCACCAGGTAAAGGCAACACCCCTCTGGTGATTTCCCAGCGACCCGGGAACTAAATTTTGATTGAATTCAGCTGCAGCAGGCAGGCACCGAGCCACGGCCTCTCCCCAGCCGAGCCCACGACCTCGCCTGCTGTGGCTCCTCAGCGGCGGGGACACTCTGCAGTTAGCATCCCAGGAAGGCCGGCCCTGGGGGAAACATGAGTTCCCCCTAGCAGACCCTTCCGCTGGCTGTGGCCACCCTGGGCAGACCCCGAGAGGGAGCCCGGGGCCAGGAGTGGGAGGCCGGAACAAGGAGCCTTTCTGCTTTGTACAATGCGTCATTGTACCCTCCTCCAGGGAACAATACAGCCCCAGCAAGGGGAAGTGGAGGACAAAGGGCCCTTTGTGAGGACTGTCCCCACCTGAAAAGCAGTGCCCAGGGTCACACCTGATGGGAGAGCTGTCCTTCCTCACTTGGTGTCCCCCGAGCTGTGCAGGCATCCGGTCAGGGACCAGAGAGCCTTGGGGCAAGGTTTGTGCTGTGGGCGCAGGGCTCCCCTGTCCTCCCCAAACAGCTGTGACCCACCCCGCCCGGCTCCCAACAGTGGGGTGGAGATGTGCAGCTGGAGGGCTCGTGGACGAACATCTGACTGCAAGGCGTCAGCCTCCCTGGCTGTACCTTTGAGTCCTGGAGCCCTCGAGCAGGCGCTGCCCTGGGCCACAGGCCCTGAGGGATTTGGTAGATGCTTGTGTCTGTTGTAACATCAGCCTCACTTTACAGCTGCTTCCCAAGGAACGCTGTCATCTGGGGAGGGGTTCCAGCAGCCGCTGGCCGGCCTAGATTTGAGGAGCCCATCGATGCCTGACACTCAGTCCCTGACCTTGAGGAGTTCACATGACAGGTGGTGGAGGAATAATTAAAGAGTAATAAAACAGGCAATAAAGACCCATCATTGAAAGACACAACCATCAATCAGTTATATGTCAAAACACTAGGAATAAAATTGAGAGACTGGAGGTAAGATGTTTCACAAACAAGCCTACCAGGAAATACGTATGCAATAGGTACAAAAGGAGAGGAACCTTAATATGTAAAGAGCTCTGGCAAATGAACAAGAACTAACCCACAGCTTGGTTATTTGCTTCCAATAACCCCCTAGCCCTGAGGCCTATCCAGTCCCACACATCCTTTTCTTCCTTCCTCTAAGGCACGCCTGTGATCCCTCCCTCTTCAGTAGCCTCTCCTGGCTGCCCCCAAGCTCAGAATGTGGGGCTACTGGGGCCCAGGTGGGTCAGTACCTTCTTCCTGACTGGGGCTCCTGGGTGCACCCCCCACCCCCGGCCTGGGGTTCAATCTCTAGGATGAGTGGGAACACTGTTATGATGGGGGCTTGGCTGGCCTCCAGGGGACACCAGGGACTCAGGGCCAGGAGGACCTGCAGGATCTGGCACAGTTTCAGGGCACAGCCACTGCCTCTTGTTTAAACCCACTCTGTGGAGTGAAGACAGCCATCAGTGAGGAGCCTGCCACACCCTGGTCACACACCCCACCATCTCAGCAACCAGGGAGCCTGGAACGAAATGTCTTCCTTCTTGACCCTCGCCAAGCCTGTGGGGGCTCCACACGGCTGTCAACGGCTGACCCTCCCAGGCTGCCAATCAGACTCCAAACAGCCTGTTCGACTTCAGTGCTGCTCTCCATGGGCCTGCCTCCCTCCCCTCAGACCCAGGACTAAACAGTCGGGCCGGAAGGACGCCGGGGACTCTCCACCATGTTCACTGGTGGAATGAATGAGAGAGCGAGGGCAGGGACATGTAAGCGAGGGAGGCAACTACATTCGAGCACAAAAATGCTTGGGCCCTGCTCCAAGGAGCCAACCCTTCCTGCTGCAGCACCGCGCGCCCTCTGAAGGGGGCCTCCTGCACGTGGGCAGAACTCGTGGGAAGAGTGGGCGGGACCGATGAGGGGATAGGCGGGGCTAGCGGAAATGTGGGTGGGACTGTGCACTGAGTGGGCGGGACCAGAAGGACGGGGGCGGGACCAGTGATGGATGGGCGGGGCCTCCGAGCGCGCCCTGGCGCGCGTCGCTCCCGCGCATGCGTCCTGACGGCCTGGCAATGGCGGCGCCCACGGAGTCGCTGCGGAAGCGAAGGCGCGGGGACGCGGACGAGGGGCCTTGTTCTCCGCCCGCGCCCGCGCGCGAGCCCGCGGCATGCCCGGCCCGCCTCCGGCCGGGCACCTTCTGGTTGACCAGGATAGTGCTCCTGAGGGCCCTAGCTTTCATTTACTGTGAGTCCCGCGCCGGCGTCCCCGCCCGGAGCCCCGCGTGCGCGGGAACGCGCCTCTCGGCGCGCGCCCCTACCTCCCCGCCCCCCTTCCTCGCACGCGCGTGGGTTCTTGGCAGTTGAAACCACACCTGGACACTCTTGGGTTTCCGTCCCTAGCTCGGGGCCCCCAGATCTCCCAGGGTCGGCGCCCCCAGATCTCCAGCGTCGGCGCCAGCCTCGGACTCCCCAAAGCTTGGCGCAGCGCTGCCAGGTCCCTTTCCCAAGTCCTGGCGGAGCGTCTGAGCCAACTTTAGCTGGGCGCCTACCAGTCACCAAACTCTAGCTGCGCTGGGCCCTTGAGGCCTCCCTGCAGGCGGGACCGAGCGGCCCGGTGCATGTGCTGGTGCTCCGAGAGTACCTCTCCTTCTCCAAGTCCAGAAGCACCCCCGCCCCTCTAATGCAAGATTTACAATTCTGAGTCCAAGCAGAGTTCCCCACTCTTCCGGGTCCTACATCCGCGGCCACGTCCTGGGCCCGCGTTGTGTCCTGGGTCCTTGTGCAACTCTGCCCAAAATTCTTGGGCCAGGCTGTTAGGTGGCCTCGCGTCGGCTCCGAATCACAGCGACCCCGTGCGCAGCAGAACGAAACACTGCCCAGTCCTGTGCCAGCCTCACAATCCTTGCTATACCTGAGCCCATGGTTGCAGCCACTGCTCAATGCATCTCGTTGACGGCCTTCGGCTTTTTCATTGACCCTCCAGTTTGCTGAGCACGAGACGACATCCTTTTCCAGGGAATGGTCCCTTCTGACAACATGACCAAAGTTGGTGAGACAAAGTCTGGCCATTCTTGCTTCCAAGGAGCATTCTGGCTGCACTTTTTCCAGGACAGATTTGTTAGTTCTCTTGGCAGTCCATGGTACCTTCAGCATTCTTCACCAACACCACAACTCAAAAGCATCAACTCTTCTTCAGTCTTCCTAATTCATTATCCAGCTTTCAGGTGTATATGAGGCAATTGAAAATACCACGGCTTGGGTTAAGTACACCTTAGTCTTCAAAGATACATCTTTGCTCTTCAGCACCTTGAAGAGGTCTTTTGCAGCAGAGGCAGTACAGTGCGTCACCTGATGTCTTGACTGCTGCTTCTGTTGATGTTGACTGTAGAACCAAGTAATATGAAGTCTTTGACAACTTCTATCTTTTCTCCATTTATTGTGATGCTGCTTATTGGTCCGTTTGTGAGAATTTTTTTTTTTTTTTATGTTGAGATGTAATCCATTCTGCAGACTGTAGTCTTTCATCTTCTTCAGTAAGTGCTTCAAGTCATCCTCACTTTCAGCAAGTAAGGTCGTGTTAGCTTATCACAGGTTGTTGATGGCTCTTCCTCCAGTCCTGATGCCACGCTTTTCAGGGTGAGGCTAGCTGAGCCCTTTCAAGTCTCCTGCAGGCTGAGTGGGAGAGGACACTGAAGGCTGCTTTTGCAGCTCTTTCTGTTTTCAGCTAAACTAGCTTGCCCTGCAGCCCAGAGGCTCTGGGGGAGGAAGGATGGCTTTGGTGACATTATCAGCAGGAGAAGCCGCCCCCTCACCTCAGAGTCTGGGGTGGGTCCATGTCTGGCAGCTGGCTGAACACTGTGCAGGTCCACAGTTGCCTGCTGACCGATGGGAGCAGCAGACTTCTAAGGAAGGCTGGCCTGGTCTGACGCAGCTGCTGATTTCAACCCTTCTCACCCCTGAGTCCAAAACCCCAAGCTGTGATCTGGAAGGTCCTGAGTGTGGAGAAAGAGCTGTGGCCGGGCAATGGTTAAGGCATGTGTCTGCTGACTAAAGGGCTAGCGGTTCGAACCCACAGCTGCTCCACAG